GGAGAAGGAGGAGAGAGAGAGAGAGAGAGAGAGAGGAGGGAGACTGAATACAGTGGATGGCACGACGACGAAAATCGAATCCGTCGAATGGATAGAGGCAACGAGATTTCTTATTCATTGGTTTTCGCAAATTGATGCGGAGAGGCTGGCTTACGGTGGCGTGTTATCGGGGAACGGATATTTCGCGCCCGCGACTCTGTTGATTCCAGCGTGAAATATAAGAACGATACAGAGGGTGGATCGAAGAAAGATATACCAATGAAACGATTTCTATTTTTTTTTTTCTTCTTCTTCTTTCCTTCTCTTTTCCCTTTATTGCGAAACGATCGATCGAAACGAACATATCTGTGACTTTGACGGGCGATTGATTGACGATTTGGGAAAAAAGTAACGATCCCATTGTTAATTTCCTCGAGCTTGAGAATTCTTTTAAGAAGGAAGAAGACAAGATTGCAATCGACAATAAGTCGAAGGATGGCATAATTTTCAATTAAATTACAACGTTTTCTCGTATTTTTGAAAACGGAGGAAAGAAAGATCGAGATTTTTGGCCTCGTGATTATTGCTTGTTGGGAACGCAACAAACGATCTCAACTCAGATCGTGAACCGCCATTCAGATATCGTTCGAAATACCAGCAAATCCGCGGACAAAATAGATAAGCTTTCGCGCATTTATCGGCGAGCATTAAATGTTGGGTCGGGATTAATTAAGCGTAATGCCGCGGCTAGAATTGACTAAATGCGCCTGAATCGGTCCGCATAAATTCCGCCATTCGGAGGTTTGCGTCACGTAGAAGTTTCTACCGAAAGGGCAGGCACAACGCCACGGTTCAACGAGCCCGACAACCATCGTGGTTCGTGCCGTAGACACGATTTTACCCCTGCGTTCCAGGACGAAGTGACGGGAACATGGACGGTGCTTGGCCACTCGTGACGAAATTAAAATTTTCCAAGTTAATACAGAGAACAGAATTGGGCATTAATTCGTTGAATAAGTAATTAGTTTATCGATTAAAAATCTCGAATAAAGTTACTTATCGAAATGCTTAAATTAATAACATTTATTCGTAGCTATTACAGTTGATCCGCTTTTCGCTATAATTATAATTATAATTGTTACGTTTTGAACAATGATTGCATTAACTTATGTAAATAATCTTATTCGTACTACTGTTAAATTTTACTCGTAATTGATAAAGAATTATAATAATTTTTCACAACGATCTTTATGATGACTACTACGAATTATTTATTTCTTTTTTAAGGAATTTAAAATGTTAAATAAAACAGAATGCTCTTTTATAAGAGCAGTCGAAAGTCAAACCATTATTTCTTTACTCTTCCTATTTATTTTCCAATAATTTTGATTATTTTGATCCAACGTCTTATTAAATGATACTTTCGATATCTCTGTATATGGAATAAATTTCTCCGTAATAATTTTGCAAAATTTCGAATTCTCTCGAGCGTGTATCAAAATTTAAGGAGAAAAGTTTTTGGGGGAGGAAATGTTAAAATTCCAGGAATAGTCCACGATAGTTGGGATCCACAGTATTTTGGTACATGGCGTGGCGGGAATACCGTGCCATGCTCTGTGTGGTTCTATAAATCCAGAAGGGTTTACCGGCGCAAAGCTTCCCTTGTGAGCTGCGCAACCCCACGTGACCTCATACCTGCCCACCACCTCCATTCCCCGTTTCACTTCCGGTCCGATACCTATTTTCCACGGCCAAGTATTCATTCCCACCGATCGTTCTCCTAAAGGTCTTGGTGAAAACACGAGGATTTTCAAGTCGAGAAACACGCCGTTTGATCCGTTAATATCGATCCAAGTCAAAGTTGGAACGAGACGCGTGAAATGTCGAATTGAATCAAATTGATCATAGACAAATGATTTTTGATTTCAGAAAGTTGAGTTAATGAAAAAGTTTGGCCTTCGAACATTATTTATAAGTAGACTCCATCGAATTATTATCATCTTTCAAATATTTCAACTTTGCTTAATTCATTTTTGTTTTGTGGAAAGTGTTATCTGACCCGTGATCGGCGATATCTCATTTGCCAATGAGTCATCGAAATATATGAAAAATAGAATTTTATTAAGATCAGTCAAATTGTTGTTGTTGTTGTTTTCTTTTTTTTTTTTCGATAAGAAAAAGATATCAAACACGTAATATATTTAAATGAATTTGATTCATTTGATTGTTAAGAAGAAAAAATAAAAGATGTTTTATAAGTATACGATAAAATTGCAGAAAATTCTGTATCTTTGTGTTATCTTGTTAATCTGAAACGCATATCTAAACTGGATAACAGTTTCAGTTACGTAAACACATTTTCTCAATTAATGTATTATTGCACATTGTTGTTTAAGGTATAAGTATTTAATATTTAAATAAATAAAAAATTTGTCCTTCATATTGTATTTCAATAAAAGTTATTATGCATTATTATGTATTCCATTAAAAATTTCATATTTCTTTGAATTATTGAGCTTCCCTATGTCAAATATTTGAAACAATGAGAAAAATCGCGACCGCCTATTTCTCAAAAAAACATCAGACAAAGAAATGGCATTTTCTGGTGACGAGCCATGTCTGCAGGCGTGAGACCCCGAGGTATCGAGCAGAAAAAGCATGAATTGTTGCCTTTGTAATCGATACTCGAACGCATCAATGCTTCCATTGTAACTTTCTACTGCTACTTTGATCAACTCGATTCCAAGTCACCGTTGATTCGTGTTCGAGTTCTGGCATAGATCTTCACGCGTCCAAGGCTACTTTCACAACACAGGAAAAACAATGCATCGAGATCGATTAATTTTTGCCTCCTCGAGATTGTTTATCCGAAATTAGACAATAGACGTCTGTCGATAACGGGCGAAGAAGAAAAAAAGTAAGGCTGATAACGGTGCTTCGCTTTTTGAAAATAACAAAAAAATTTACAAAAAAATCGCCGATTATCTACACGATACGAATTGTATCGAAAATAATTAATCGGATTTTTTCGTCGATTTCCTAATTTAAATTTTCGTTTAATTTTTATAGGTAGAGTAATAATCATTCATTGTCAAATTGCACCGAGTTTCGCAATGATTTAAGATTAATTCTTCGCTCGCGATAGATAAAATTTATTTTTCCAAGTATTCTAGAGTATATATATATATATAGTCGAAAAGTTAAAATGAAAATTCGTTTCTTCAGCCAAAATGTCACTCATCTAAATTATTTATACCTACAAACTTACAAATCTCATGAACGTAACAAATAAAAATTTATTTTCGTCTAAATAAAAAATGTCGTTTCATCCTCGTTCATCCTCATTTAAGAAATCACAATAAATATGGATGAAGTTAATAAATTATTATTAAAAATCGTTTATAAGAGACAGAGGAAGAAAATTATGTATAGAATTAATATATCGATTATCACTCACCCTGACACGAGGTTCTGGAAGTTTGGTGAACAGACCTATTTCTTCCCTGGTCGACATATCTGGATACCGATTCCTCATGAACAAAGCCTCGAGCTCTTGAAGTTGTTGGGACGTGAAATGCGTCCTCTGCCGCCTCTGGCGTTTGTTCTTCTTTCCATCCTTATCGTCCGCGCTATTTACCCCAACCACACCGTCAGGGGAGACAACCCCTCCACCGGCTCCCAATTCGTGTTTCACCTCTGTCGGTGTCGCAACATCTGAAACGTGTTAAGATATCACATTCCCTAGAAAATGGTGACACTTATTCTAGAAGAAAATTCTACTCTATTCGATTCTTTACGATTTATAAATTTCATCTTCCATATATTTCGTGGAAACGAGGAAAATGATCGCGTGAAAAATTCGTGATACGAGTGATTTGCTTCGAATTTATTCTAACTTTACCTCTCTATCGTTTAAAAACTTCCCAAAGTAATCGAAGCACGATACGAGAATAAAAATGTTTCAACGACTTGTTTATTATATTAACCATTCTCGTTTCTCGCGAATAGATAAATCTTGATTGCAATATTTTTTGAATCTCTTGCAAATTAAAATAAAAAGAAAAAAAAAGAAAAAAGAAAAAGATATCTTCTCTCGAAGCACACGATAAACGCAACACGCACGTAAGGCCTTCGACGACGAAGTAGCGAGCATAACGATCGTACCGATCGATTATAACGCTCGATCGGTAATCTCTGCCGCATACGAGAATAACGCGTATGTGTTCGTCATTTGATCGTGGGCAGTGACAGGTGAGGGTATTTCACCCCTGACTCCGCAGCAGCAAATCGCCAGCTTCCCTTACTCGTATTGACAGCCGTGTGATCGATTACCACCTTTTTCAAAGAGCACCGCTATCAGTGCGTGTGATGATGCCGCTAACTATCTTCTAACTAAGACGGCCGTTCTTCTATTTACAGAGGCAGCAACTCGACATAATATCGGTCGATACCGATACCGACCGAGTTCCGTCATCGAAGAAACGTTTCGACCACTTTATCGCCACTGTTTCAATTTATTCAGTATAATCTTAATCCACCCACGGCTTGTAATGCCGTGTATTTTACTATTCATGTGGAAACGGATATTTCTAGTATCGAAGATAAAACGTTGCGTTGCGCAGGAGGCTGTTATCGGTTAGTTTCGATCGTTAATTGCTTTAACACGATGTAATTGTGCACGATTGAATTTAAGTTCACCTTGTTTTCAAATTTTCTTTCAATTCAGCAACGAAGCTTTATTCAATCCATTGGCAACGAAATTAAACGAAGCGTTGTATTATATCTTAGATTGTTAACGTTAATTATATGTTCGTCCAGCTTGGATGAAAATAAATTGTGTCGTTGTGTGTGTTGCGGTAACTACATATATTCCATTCTGCGCAGATTCATCCTATCGCTCTTTGTCTTCTCGATGTAATTATTTTCGCAATTCGATATTTTATAAAAAGAAAATTCGACGATCGATCGTAACGTATCGATCGTAAATTCTACAAATTTACTTTTAGCTAGCAAAAGAAAGAAAGAAAGAGAGAGAGAGAGAGATTATTCGTCAAAGAGGTTGAAATTCAAACATCTTTGGGAGAGAAGAACGAGAGGAACGTGCTGGACTCGCGTGAAGGAGGCAACGAGAGGCCTCGCCCTCGTCTCGGGATTACAAACGAGTGAAGCGAGATCCGTCCCCGGGGTTTGTTGTTAACCAGGCCTGTAAGACTCTCTCGGAGATATTTCAATTTGCGGGGATTTGGGGCGGCTGCTAGAGTGCCGGCTAAGTGCCGAACAAACCTGCAAACAAACGGCGGCAAGCATTTTCCTCGCCTTTCTCGCGTTGCATCCGACAACGGCACTCCTCTCCGTTATCAGTTTGATTTCACCGAGATCGTGAACCCCCTCCCTCGAATCGTATCCTACTTGATCGATGCGCGAATCTTTTTCCGCCACCGCGTAAAGATGAACACGTTGAAAGATCGATATAGAATTGGGCATTAAAAATTTCGAATAACGATTAAGTAATTATTTATTTAAAATATGTTTGGCATTATTTGCGATTATTATTATCCCTTGAACAACAAATTATTGAAACTTTCAACTATTAAATTTTGCTGGATTGAGAATATTACGTTGAAACGAACGTATTGCGAGTTAATCGATTGGAATTATGATGGAGATTGAATTTAGGTAAAGTGCGTTTCTTTAACATTTTGAATAATCCTTCGAAGATTACGTACGTACCATCATTGAAGATACGTTTTACAGCAATTTTTCCGTAATTTTCCATAACTCTCGCCATACCGTTTCGAAAAATTACCATCCATACCAACGAAGCAACATCTGTCCAACTCATAGGGTCCAACTTATTAACCAACATACCACGATCAATCCAACCGATCTCTAATTTCAATCGAATTATAATCAATCCAATCAATCCGCTCGAAGCAACCCGAACACGATGTATAACATTTCCGCAGAACGTCATCAGAAGAGAAGCGCAATAATGGACGAGAGAAGAAAAAGAAAGAGAGAAAGAAGAAAAATGAAAAATAAAGTGGAAATTCATTTTCGCAGGGAAGGAAGGAGGGTTGGAGAAAAGTTGGCGGTAAATTGGCGAGGCGTACCTTTTCGGATATCCGGCCTGTGTGTCGTGTTCGTGCGGGACCTAGGTTGTGCGGTAGAAAATCCACCGGAGGGTGTCGTGGGTGTCGCGCCCGGTGTGCTGGGGTTGCTTCCACCGGGAGTGTGAGCTCCGTGACCCGTCAAATCGAGCCTTGCCAAACCCCCGGTCACCTCGTCCCGGAAGTCGCCCTGTGCCCATACTGCAAAACGCATCACACCCTCTTGCAACATCGTCTAAGCTCTCCGTAAGCTCCGCTATTTACTAACTTATTTCGTTACTAATCCGGGATCCCGCGGGGCCGTTTCCGCCTTCCCTCCCTCCCTCCCTCCCCACTCCTCCCTCCCTCCTCCTCCTCCTCCTTCTTCTTCTCTTCTTCTTCTTCTTCTTCTTCTT